AAAGCAATACAATTTAAAACCTTATGGATTATATTTACTAATGAAAGAGTACCTTTTGTTTTAAGTATAATACTCTTAAATTACCTTCATATGTGACTTTGCCATTTTCGTGGGTATATTTTTTTAAACATTGTATGTTATCACATTTATAACGATAAAATTTCNTATTTGTCGGTAAAGACTTAATACTCTTTACAGTATATAGTGAACTCTTGGAATTATCAACGTCAAATTATTATTTCTCTTTATAGTATCAATATATTTTAGGAAAAGAAAGGCATAAATAAGTTAATAAGTTACAGACATGCCGGCTATATTTTTTCTTTAGTATCGGCAATTTGCGAATTTTTCTTGTAACATTTTTGTTCGTTTAATAACTACGATTGACTATACGAATTTTCACACAAAAATAGCATTCAGTAGCCATTTTCACCACGAAGACAAGGCTAGAGGTCAAATTTTTTTGTTCCAAAATGAAGTACATTACATTAGCTTTAATTTAAGATATATATAAAAGTGTCAGACCTTCCGGAACACTTTCAAAAGATATGTTGAAAAAGTTTTGTGAAAAATTGTCATTTTAAATCCCCCTGTGGGCAGGTAAAGGGTTAAATTTATGAACATAATATACCACATGATAGGTAAAGACATCAATCATCAATATAAAAAAAAATATATTGATATGTTCATTTTAAAAAAAAAACCAGCACAGGGGGGTAGTGATGGGAATTTCGGGTCAATCGAACGATCCGAATCATTTGGATCGGATCGTTCAAATGACCCGTTCATATAACTCGTTCTTTCGTTCATTTCTTACGATCGGTCACGGTTCTTTTCAATTACTCCTTACTTTGGTTTTCCTGAACAAGTCGTTCAAATTCGCATTTTCACCATGTAACATTACTGTGATATTAGAATTTTTACTGATAATACACTTGTATAATCGGGTTATATATTATTTTTTCAAATACAAATTACTTGAAATAACATAATATGCTGTTATACACGAATATTTTTGTATAGAATAAAAACAAATAATTTATACCTAGCGCATGAGTTGCGTTACATAAATCCATAGAATTTGTTTCTATAATAAGCGAAATCATTTAAATTATTTGTTTTCATAAAAGGAGTTTTATAGAGAAATTAATTCACCTAAATCAGATATTACAATTTACAGCAGCTATGACCAGATTATAAAAGAGTGAGGTGGTTTAATACCTCTCACAACAATTATATTAGTCTAATAGTCAATTTTTGTCCTAGTTGCTAAATTCAATAATTCATAGACCTATTTTCGCTTATAAATAATTATATGAATGTAATATTTATGAAATAAATAGCTATATATTGATAATCAAAATTGTTCTTCAAATGAACAATATAGTAGGATACTTGAAATAATCTAACTGTATTAAACCTGCATGATTATGTTAGTAGAAACATGTCACAACTTTGAAAATTTAGTCTGCAGACCTGCAATAAAAATGTTTTTATCACAAACCAAATAGTGTTGCTTTTAAACTCTCATTGGCAATAAGTATTTTTTTATTTAATTTTTTAAAAAAACATTATAAGTATATACTTATAAAGAATATATTCTTCGTTTTTTTTTTAAATTTTTATATTATAAGAATATAAGGTTAGGCATAGGTTTTAACCGAAGTGCAGGTAAACGTTCAGTAAATGAACGAATCATGAAACAGTGTGTCCGATATATTGCGTGAAACGAACGAACAAATGAACGATATCTATTTTTTTTGCGATCCGTATCAACTCGTTCACTGATATGACCCGTTCAAAAAGACCCGTTCGTTCGTGAACGACCCATCACTACAGGGGGGTCGCAACAGTGGTGACGTGGCATAGATGGATCAAGTAAATGATATCTGACAGTGATTAAAATCACTATCAAAAATAAACGCTTCGATGCAAATCTTTAGATAGTGTTTAATTTTAAAAAAATTGGTGTTTTATTCCAAAAGCTACTTGATCTGCTGGTTCCTTATTAATATCTCGATTAAGATAAAGTATGTCGAATGAAAAAGGGTTTATTAAAAAATATTATTTCTCATAAAAAAATTGTGTGGATCCATAAACTTTTCAATAAGTTATAGCATTATAAAGTTAAATATAATATAAATAATAAAATCGAGAAGTTTTACACAAAAATAAAATTCGGTAGCCATTTTCGCCGTGAAGACAAGTCCAGAGGTCAAATTTTTTTTTTTCAAATTAAAGTATATTACATTAGCTTTAATTTAAGATATATATAAAAGTGTCAGACCTTCCGGAACATTTTCAAAAGTTAAGTTGAAAAAGTTAATTTTTTGTGAAAAAGTTGTCATTTTAAATCCCCCCCTGTGGGCAGGTTAAGTGTCAGATTTACAAAAAAAATATACCAAATGATAAGTAAAGACATCAAGCATCTATATAAAAAAAAATTATATTGATATGTTCATTTTTGAAAAAGTTAGAGCATTATTAAGTTAAAAATATAAAAAAAAATTATTTTACAAAAATCGTAATTTTTTATTAACTTTGATGTCAACTTTCACCACGAAGACAAGTCCAGAGGTCAAATTTTTTTTTTTCAAATTAAAGTATATTACATAAGCTTCAATTTAAGATATATATAAAAGTGTCAGACCTTCCGGAACACTTTCAAAAGTTAAGTTGAAAAAGTTAATTTTTTGTAAAAAAGTTGTCTTTTAAATCCCTCCCTGTGGGCAGGTTACACATTGAAGTATTTTAGGGTGACGTGTCCTTTTTCTACCTGGGCTTTGAAGTAGTAAACACATGAATTGAATTTTCTTGAAGATGCCCTACGGAGCGCCCTTCGTTATAACTTTTTGGTGCTCGATGCATGCTGCTGATTTCGATATTGTTGATAGTTGATTCTTCTTTTCATTGGCAATTTTTCTTTTGCGACAATCTTGAATAAATTAGTTTAAACTAAATTAGTTTGTATTAAAATAACAAGTACTGAGAATTCAAATAATAAAATAAAATTTAAATTAAATATTCTTATACATGAGTTTAAAAAGAAAAACTTTAAATTGAAATAAATCAGTTATTCCGAACTTAAGCACATTTTTTTTTTTTTTTTTTAATGTAACACAGTAAAGATGGTAAAGGTAAAGGTGTAAATGTGCAACTATGTGTACGAAGATGAATATGAGGAGGTGGTGCCTGCTGTCTAGGTATTCACGTGCGTGTTGTCGTACAGCAGTCACCGTGCTCGGCTGACACTCCGGGTTAGCTGTGGGTGTCGAAAGGCTGTTGTTATAGGAAGGGAGAATAAGAGTAACACCTAGGTATGAGGTGCAGACGAAGTGCAAGACACAAATACCAGGTGTACCAGATAAGGAGTATAACAAAGTACGAGGTGCAGACGAAGTGCAAGACACAAGTACTTCAAAGAGAGAACGGGGTAGTCGAGTATAAGGTGCAGACGAAGTGCAAGACACAAATACTAGGCGTACCAGGTGAGGAAAGATAACAGAGTACGAGGTGCAGACGAAGTGCAAGACACAAGTACTCTGAAATGTCGAGGAAAAGAGTATATAGGTTTGAAAAGGAATAAACAAAGACTTTACTTTAAACAGTAAGCCGGACAGCGACAACCGAGTACTGAGACTGATGAATGACACAAAGCACTGGAGTCGAATGACCACGATGGTCAGGTCTATTGGGTTTTTATAATAATTTGAACTATTGCCAAATCGACAATAAATATTATTTGTTAATTCATCAGTCTCAGGCAGCGGATGTGCTGTCTGTATTTTATTAAAATAATTCTCACGATTATGAAAACGTGACACCATCACAGTAATATTCTAAAACAAAACAATATGTATGGTTACTTACAGTACGAGATACATTTTTACGATGGATTGAAAAAACAATGTTGTTGAAGTAGAATGAATTGGATTAAGGTAGAATAACTACATGGCTTAGCTTTTGAAATTACGAGTGAGTGAATAAAAACATCTCCTTTAAATGAAATAACTTCCTTGAAATGACACAGTGAATGAAATTATTTCCTTGAGTTGAAATAGTGAACGAAAATAATCTTCTTTTAAACGTAGCAAAAAAAAAGTAATAATAAAATAAACACTTCTTGATTATTTGCTTTCTTGTTGTAGTTGATGATTAAAACGCCGGTAATGATTGGTGGCGATGACGGCCGGATCAGCTGGACTCCTCTGGACAGTGATAAAAATGATACAGTAGTCTGACGATAACGATGGTGTTTCATAAATTTAAAAAACTTTTGATAGAGAGCGTACCCACGGCGTATGGGTGTGGCTACTATATTCTAGAGTGCGCGTTATCCATGGTTTGGATATTTCGATGAAAAATGTATACACTAGATGGCGTGAGAATCAGTTGTCGCACTTGTAAAATTTCTGACAGTTAATCAGAGACGGATGCGTGTGTATGGTGCTACCCAGTTGGCGGCCTTGATTAACGAATACGATACAACCAGAAACACCGATTCAAAGAACTTTTCGAAATATTGAAATTTTGTATATTAAAAAAAAAAACACGATATACACAAAAAGTAAAAATAAAAATAGTAATTAAAAATTACTATAACGCACTGGATTAATAAAATTTTTGTATAACGTACCTCGCAGACACGTGGGTATCATGTCAACACTTACTGAAGAAACACGGAAAAATGAAGTAGAATGTTGACTGTAGTTGATTCTTCAGTATAAAATAAATGTTGATCACACCGCTGCCACCAAATGTTGTGACCGGGTTGGTACAGTAGACAAAATGAAGAGATAAAACGTTTGATAATTAGTTGCTATTTATTATATATTAATATACGAGGTGTGACAATAAAATAACAAGACTTTCTAAATATATCCTAAACTATTAACGTTATCTATAAAACTATTATTGAAAAATGATTAGGAAACACTTATCTAAAAGTACTATAAACAATGATGAAATCGGTTAACTTTCTTATACGTTAGTAACCTTGTTATTAGTGCAAAGTCGACTATACTGCCGAAAAATGTTAGATATGAAAATCGAACAACGTGTTAACATTAAATTTCTTGTTAAATTAAAAAAAACTGCCGCAGAATCATTTCGTATGTTATGTAAAGTTTATAGTGAAGAATGTTTATCAAGAGCTTGCGTTTTTGAATGGCACAAACGGTTTTGCAATGGAAGAGAGGACGTGGAAGACGATGATCATTCTGGACGTCCTACCACATGTTCAACAAACGAAAAAGTTAAAAAAATCGACAAAATTATTCGGCAAGATCGTCGATTAAGTGTTAGAGCTGTAGCAGAGATGGTAAATATTGATGGAGACAGTGTTCGTAAAATTTTAGTTGAAAATTTAAATATAAAAAAATTGTATGCTAAAATGGACCCTAAAAATTTGACGATTGATCAAAAATTCAATCGCAAAGAAATTTGTTCTGACACCTTAAAAATTATCAAAAATTATCCATCTTTTATAAATAATATCATTACATGTGATGAAACGTGGATTTTTACATATGATCCTGAAACTAAAAGGCAATCTATGCATTAGAAGACATCAACTTCCCCAAGAATGAAGAAAGCACGAATGAGCAAGTCCAAATTCAAAGCAATGCTCATTGTTTTCTTTGACATTAAGGGAATAATTTTTGTTGAATGGGTTCCTAATGGGCAAACTGTCAACCAATGTTATTATAAAGATGTATTAATTAAATTAAGAGAACGTGTTAGAAAAAAGCGACCAGATCTGTAGAAGGATGGCTGGGTTCTTCACCAAAACAATACTCCAGCTCACAGTACATTTTCAATTCAAAGTTTTTTAACTGAAAAAAATATTTCTATACTTCAATATCCCCCCTACTTGCCAGACCTTGCTCCTTGTGACTTCTTCTTATTCCCAAAAATTAAAAGTTTTTTAAAAGGAACCCATTTTCAAACGGTTGATGACGTAAAAATGAAAACGGCAGAACTTCTAAAAGGGCTAACTGAAAGCGATTGGCAATATTGTTTTCAAGAATGGCAGCGACGTATGCAACAGTGTGTTGATGCTGAGGGAAGGTACTTTGAAGGTGACAATCATTAAATTGTAAAATTTTTAAAATAAATAACTTTTATTAAAAAAGTCTCGTTATTTTATTGTCACACCTCGTACAGTGACACTTATAATTGACTTTACGACTTTAATGAGTTGATACTTAATTAATATAACAGATTCAGTGAAAAAATTAACAAAAGATTCAGTGAAAGTGATTCAGTAGAGAGTCGTCCAGGTTTGACCCTATGAACTATATGACTCTTGAACGAGTAGTTGACTACTACTGGCGCGTCGCCTCAGGTGCAGGCGGCCGCCGTAGACCCAATAAATTGAAAAGGGCTGAGCAAACATCAAATGTTCTAGAAGGACTAGATGCTTGCCTGGTTAATACTTTATATACAAGACAAAATAGGGTTCCGTTCCCATGATTAATATATACTATTAAATTTCACAATTATAATTAAGCAGCAAAAAGCCAGTTCACAAACCCACACCATTTTGAATGACCCCCTAAGTCCACATTTATAATTAACCAACTTAAAAAATAGAAAATGATCAAATTAAGAAAATAATAACAGTTGATATAATTTGGTCCAGAATTTTTGATGGTATTAGTATTTTTATATACAGCCTGGTGATGAAACATTGAAGATGTTATTTTTAAATCAAGTAATTTCCTGGATACACACTTTCCCTCTAAATATAAAATTGTCAATAAATTCGGAAATACTGTTACAAAATTTTATAAATCAACATTAATATATATATTAAAAATCAATAACATTTGAACACCGAAAAACACAAAAAATTGATATTGTTTAAATAAAGCAAAACAGAAGACATTTAATTATGTCTCTCGTTTAAAACGAAATAATTGTTAACGTTTTAACTGTAATAACTGTTTACGTATATGCAATGAAATCAGGTTTGGAACAACACTGGGAATCCTATAAGGACGCCCAAAGGAACTACAAATCTGCATTGAAAAAGTCCAAAAGAGAAAGCTGGAAGAAGTTTTGTGAGGATATACAACAACTCCCTATAGCAAATAGACTTCTGCGATCACTAAGGAATGGATCAAACAAAACTGTCGAGGCAATACTACTGCCAGACGGAATGTTCACCAATAACAATAATGAAACATTATCACATTTGATGAACACACATTTTCCTGACTCTGCAATTAACAACAGAGAACAGGAACATGATGCACAGGACAAACGTGTGACCTGTGCTGATTGGAGACCAACCAGGAAAGTGATAACCCCAAGTGGAATAAGATGGGCAATAAAAGCCTTTGGCAGTTTTAAAGCCGCAGGCTGTGACGAAATTGTCCCTGCACTGCTGTGTGAATCTGCACAACAGCATGGAATAGAACCACTTATTATTAAGTGGATAGAATCCATGCTCAAGGAACGCTCCATTTTGGGACAGCTCAATGAGACCAAAGTAATCAAGAGTGTTAAACAGGGGTGCCCACAAGGCGGGGTTCTATTCCCCTTGATATGGTGTCTAGTATTGGACCTGCTTATTAGAGAGTTAAACAAATATTGTTATACACAAGCCTATGCGGATGAATAGGCTTAACGAATTAATACGTGAAATAGTAAATGATTTAGGAAATGAAGTAGTAAACGAATTACTAAATGAAATAGTAACCCAATAAAGAATTAAATAGTAATCTTAGAAAAATGGAACTAATTATCAAACGCATTATCTTTTCATTTTATCTACCGTACCAACCCGATCACAACAGCATTATAGCTCAAACTCTTCGCAATTCAAGGGCAGGAGTAGGGAAGTGGTTTATTCAAAATTCTGAGCTGTTCTCCCCTACGGCATCGTCTATTCGAGAATGAGGTAAACAAAAACCCTATGTTAACTGACCTATAGTCTAGTTGAGAGGGTAATGTAACCTACGTCTACACATCTGTAGTCTAGTAATAAGGCACTTATAAAAAACCCTATAATCTAAGCAATTAAAATAAAATTCTAAAATTACTTTAACAAGATTAAAAAAATATTTCCAAAAATTCGGTCCCCAACGGACCAAAATGTGTGACGTGAAATACTCAGACGACTACTCGCCGAGATAAATCGCGTCTCTAACAGTTCTTTTAAATTAAATAAAAAAATTAAATAAAATAAAAATTAAGTTTTGTGGACTGTAGTTTATTTCCCCGTTTGATATTATCCAATAAAATAGCTACAATAATTTACCCTAAATCTATTGTGCAGTATTTATATTTAAACAAATATAACAAAATATGACAACATAAATATATTAACAATTAATATTTAGACAAAAAAAAAGTAGAAAATGTGTAATCTGTTCTTGCTTCTTCGTACCACTATGACGAGCACTTCAATGTGTCAATTAGTACAGTCAAACTGTATATTATATGGTTATAAGGTGAATTGAACACATAAACCATCTAAAAAGAAGCAAGTCGAACAATCAACAACAGAATCCGTGACACTACACGCTATTAAGTTGGCTATTTTCATGCGTCAAGACCGTAAAACGATACAAAAAAAAATTATAAATCGATTCAAATATGATATGGGTTAAAATGACATAAATAAAAGTTTCAAAAAAGAAAAAAAAAAATTATTAAACATTTTTTAACCTTCAAATTTTGCTATCAAAATACTGCAAATTAAAAAATTTAAATCAAAATTCATAAACTTAATAATGAAATCGAAGTACTATTTAATATAAGTAAAACAGTGCTAGTTCCATAGTAATAGCTTATTGGGATGTGAAGTTATAGGCTTTAGAACATAAGGGGTTTGTTCATGTTTTTAATTATAACAAATGCACAATCTGGTAAAAACAAAAACTATTTTTGTTGTCAATGATATTTAAGAAGTCTATGATAAAAATGTCAAAAATAGCAGCACACACATTAGGTGATTTCACATGGAATGACCCAGCTTTGATAATTATCATGGAAACAGTTATATATTTATAACTAATATTTAAACAGAAATTATTTGGTTTTTTCTGTTCTTTTCTCAAATCATACTGTAATATTATTTTAAAATCTACTCTGTAAAATGGATATCTTTTTTATATTTTTCGTTAATATAGTTTATTTTCCTTTTTTTAATAAATTAAAAAAAATATGGTAAGTTATATTATTTGCATAGTTGTAAAGTTTAAAAATTATTCGTGTCTGTATATTTAACACAAAATAGTATAATTTACTACAAATAAAAAAAAAATTAACCCGAAGACTTGTATTGTGCAGTGTGATTTATTAAGAACACTAAAGATAAATAATATTTCTATACTTTTTTAACTTTAAGTAAGAGTTTAGAATTTAGATTTTAGAAGTTAAGAAGTTAAGTTAAAACAATATATTCGTTTAAATTTATTTTCAGAAAACTTATCGATAATATAAAGTACATATCTATAATGCAACATAGATACATATCATAATTTTTAAAGTAAAATATTCTAAAAAAAAGTTATCAGATATAATTAGTTTTATTTCCCAAATATAAAATAAATAATTTGTTATAATAAATATTACTTATATAAAAATTTAAATATCCTAACATCGAATAAAATAATACTAAAAACAATATAAAAATAAAATCCTAATACCATTATATCTTTTACAATCACACAACGAGTTCTAGTTTATTAGATGTTATCAATATTTATTTAGATCCATAAATTAAAATAGCATTTACATACAATAAATTAGTACACATGATATCTTATAAAAGAGGTAGTACACCTAATCGAATTTTATATTTAATTACTGGCTCTCATTCAAGCATAGATAATTATCATTGAAACAGTTACATACTTATAACTAATATTTAACCTGAAATTATTTCGTTTTTTCTGTCCTTTTCATCAAACCATATTGTAATATTTCATATCGTAAATTAAACACAAAAGTACAATTTTTCAAAAACTTTAATATGCTACAAATAAATTACTACTAAACATTAATAAGCTATTGTTTTACAAAATTTTTTATTTTTTTCGTAAATTAAATTTTTTTCCTTTTTTAATAAATTAAAAAACTATGGCTTGATATGTTATTTGCAAAGTCCTAAAGCATAAAAATTAATCGTGACTCACTCTGTATATTTAACGCAAAATAATATAATTTACCACGAATTAAAAAAAAAATTGACCCTTACACTTGTCATCTACAATATGATTTATTAAGAACACTAGAAATAAATAATATTTCAATATTTTATTATCTTTATATACTTGGTGTTAGTATTAATTTAATGACGTTAGCTAGTAAAATATTTGCATTATTAAAAATGTCATAATGATCCGTTTTAGATTTAAAAGAGCTTTTTAAATTTTTAGTGAATTTAAAAATATCAATATTGACTTTTTTAAAATTATTGAATTTTTGGAACACATTAAATTAATTTTAACTGGTATTGAAAGTAATTTTTTAAATTATCATACTGATAAGCTACTAGATTTTTTGACATATTATTGAGTAAAATCGTTTCAATAGGTGATGATCAGTTGGTTAAACTGAAAAAAAACCATAATAAAAAGAAACATGTATTTAATATATTTATATTAAACAGATCCCAACTAATTTTCAAAAATATATTTGATAAAAAATATGAGGAGAGTATAAATTAAAAATTAAATTTTAATGGAGAGTATATTAAAAAGTATATAATAAAATATAAATCATTGTTAGCAATACAAAATAAAAGTATTTTTTTAAATTATAATTTGCTACATCAAATAATTTTCAATTGTTGTTATTACCACCATTCCACATTTTGCAAAAATCTGCAAAATTTAAGTAAAACAAATTTAGTGCAGTAGGAATCTAACAAAGTCAGGTGAGACATTTTGTTAATTTTATACCTATTCATTAATTATTAATATTTACACATAATGTATTATTATATTAATAGTTATCGTTTTAATATTAGTTATTAAAATTATTTAAAAAATTATATGACAATACATATTATTTTTGATTAAGTTAATTACAGTCTTGATGCAGCATTATGGAATAAAAATATCATTCATTGGTCTTTATTTATAGTAAACATGATTACTGAAAGAGATAAATACTACTGTGTTAAAAAGCTTGATGTGTATTTGAAACATAATTAAAACGTTATGAAAACAACAAAATATTCATGGTCATGAATTTTAAAGATAAGTTACACAAACGTTTTTCTTATATTAATCATATACAGAGTGATAGTGTTTTTCATAAATCACTCAATTACACGCGAAATAATCTCTTAGTTATATCAAATTCTTGATTTATCAATAAAACAAACAGGTCCATAAAACAAACTTTAAATTTGATTTAGCTTTGAATGATATATATGTTCTGTTGATACTCAAAGAACTTTAAAATAATGTAATTTTATTATAAATCGTATAATTTTTGTCTTTAATAACTTTTAAAAACGAGATTTCGGATAATTTTATCATTCTAAAAATCTGTTAATTTACTTTGCAATTTTCTTTTCCATCCGTATATGTGAATATTCATTTATATTACACCAATTTACTCAACAATAAGTAAAATATCATAAAACGTGTCTATTTGATTCTGTCGCATAATAATTTTGAAATATTCCTCACACTTTCAGTAATAAAGAAAAATGACACACAAAATTACAGTTGTTATAAAATAAACAATATTATTTTTGGTAAATTATCAATAATTAAAAATCAAAAAATAAAAAGTATCAATTGGATAGATTATTATGAAATTTTTATTGATAAAACAACAGATTTATGCTCTTCGACTCCATATTTTTTTTTTAAATTAATAATAATGACATAGATTATATGGATGTTCTTAGCAATGGATTATGTACATCATTAAATGCGATAAAAATAAGATTTTCAGTACTAATATTTAAAACTTATATATTTAATATTTATATCTTTGTATTATTACACTTTTTTGTAAATACGTATATTATTAAAGTGCTATAGAGAATTAATTTAAAAATGATAAAATTTTTAAAAAACATACAGTAGAAGCGAATGTAATCTCGAAACGTTACCAAAAAAAAAAAAAAAATAAACACAGAAGGATAAATCAATAGATTGACAGGTACGCATTGAAGCTAATTTTTTACAATTTTTTTTTTTGGTGATAACTCAGTAGTCTCATTAAAGTTCATACAGTACAATAAAGCTATTCACCACGCACTCGATTTGTGTGATATTTACTAATGAAAGAGTTCCTTTTGTTTTAATTATAATACTCTTAAATTACCTTCAAATGTAACTTCGCCTTTATCGTGGGTAATTTGTCTTAAAGATTGAATGCTTTCTTGTAGACAACGTGATTTTCTCATCTTATTTCCTCCGAAACGATTTAAATCATTCATATTGAAAGAACTCTTTCCCTTTGATATTATCTTAAATACTTCCATATCTTCTATACTATGTGTAGACGACATTATTTCTTCTTTTTGTGTTTGACGACTATTTAAGTTAAATAGTTTCAAAAATCTGTTTAGATGAGTTTCACTGTCTATAATTATTAAAAAATTACTGAATTACACGTACATAAATAAATATAAACAAACATAACATTACTTATAAGTTAATATATTAATATTTAATATAAATAATAATATTTAATATTTATATTATAAGTTAATTTAATATAGTTAACATAAATCAACCTACAGTATATAGTGAACTCTTGGAATTATGAATGTCAAATAATTATTTCTCTAAATAATATCAATATATTTTAGGAAAAGATAGGCATAAATAAGTTAATAAGTTACAGACATTTAGTGAATAACCCTTATACTATTATGTATATATTATTTATGACAACTAAGGAAGTTCAACTACCTATTAATCAAATGAAATGTTAAATGCGTAATGGGATGGTTTCGTCTCCAAAATGTAGAAACATTTTTTGTTATATAAAAAAAGAATTAGAAATTGAATACTTATAACAAAAAAAACAATAAAAGTTATTGATTTTATTGTGTTAAAAAAAGGAAATAAAACTATACTAAACATCATTAAAAAAAAACTAATATTTTAGTTTATATAATCATACCAATCCGCAAAATAAAAAACTCAACATCTTAATATTAAGCACTATACTTAGTTTCAATAGACTATATACTATTTAATATATATAAAATAATTCGCAAAAAAAATTACAAAAAACATAAAACTTTTTTATTATAAAAAAGAATTATGAATGGAAGTATTCACCTATTCAATAAAATTTTTACCACCCCACCCTTAAATATTTTTGAAAAATTACAATTCCTTGTATTAACTCAACTAAATTCGTTAAATGTGAATGAAATTATTTTATTTTGCTTAATTTATTAAAAATAAATATATAGAGTGATTCATTTTTCATGAACCACTTTATTAATTGAAAAACAAATATAATATTAGTAATGTTTTTATTTTTTTTTATTTTGTTCAATATTCTTCTTATTTTTGAATCATAAAGTTTTTTTAGGTTCATTCCTTATACATAATAAGGGTGTCAACTTAAATTTTTCAAATAGGAACAACCCTAATTAACTTGCTAATTTATTTAAAAATGATCTAATAAAGAAAATTACTAATAAATTATATCTTGAAAACCAGTAATTCAGAAATTATAAAGTATCATATACTTGCTTTTAAATTTCTCCCACTTGAACAACTACACACTTTTAGTAATAAACCTAATATACAGAGTGATACACTTTTCATAAACCACTTAATCAATAGAAAAATTAAAATAATACTAATAATTTATTATTTCTATATTATAGTTTAATGTTTCTCACATTTTTCAATTATAAATATTTTTATGTTCATCTCTTATAAATTCTTAAGATGTAAACTTTTATTTAAATAATAATAACAACCGTAATTAGTTAGCTAAATTAATTTTAAAAAAACCAGCACAGTGGGGAAGTTGCAACATCAACTCCTATTTCCTTAATTATATCCAGATTAGTAATTCGTTTAATTATATATTACATAATTTTTATAATTAATTATTTTCAAATTATTATCGATTTTTAATATGTTAAAAGTAATCATTTTGAACCAACTTCTTTTTGTCCTTTAAAGTGAATGNTATTATATAATTTTTATAATTAATTATTTTCAAATTATTATCGATTTTTAATATGTTAAAAGTAATCATTTTGAACCAACTTCTTTTTGTCCTTTAAAGTGAATGTTTTATTTAAAAAAAAATTAATTTATTACCATAACTTTTAACTCAACTTGCAAGTTTGAAATAGATATTATTAAATAGAAAAAAATGAAATTGGTAGATTATTTCAAAAACAACAATAACACTTATTCCCTTAATTTTACCCCGATTTATAATTATAATATATGAACACATAATAATTACAGTAATTAAATTGAGTATGAAAGTGGTATTCAATAATATAATATTGTAATTTTTACGGAGATATTATAAAAATAAAAAGGAGTTGTATATTCATATACTTTTAATGCGTATACAAATTTAAAGGAATTTATGCAATACTTTTTAATAAAAAAATTTTGTTACTTATGAATAAATACACTAAACAAAAGGAACTTTCATCAGAAAAAAAATATACTTTTCTAAATAAACTTTTCGTGATGTTTTCAAATGTGCAATTAAACTTTTTCTATTACTTCTAAGTTTTAATATTATTACTTATTATTAAAAAATAAGTATTTACATATAAAAAAAAATAATTAAGAACAAAAAAAATTGTATTAAATTAATACTGATTTTGATTTTTAATATGTTAAAGGTAATCATTTTGAACCTATTTTTTATTGTCTTTTAAAGTGAAAGTTTTAATGAAAAATACCTTCTCAGCTTCGCATCGAAGCTAAAAAATGAATTTGTTACCATAACTTATAGTTCAACTTGCAAGTTTGAAATTGACATTATTAAATTGAAAAAAATGAAATTTTTAAGATTAATATGCAATCAGGAAATTTTATAATTACTATTTACAGTACATTTATCAAAAAAATTCGATTTTTTTTGCATTTTATTCGTAATAGATAACTGAAATAGAAAGAATAGTAATATTTTCCTAATAACTTTTAGTGTTTAAAAAGATTCTGCAATTGAAATATTCAGAACTTGATTAATTTTAATATTTTACTTTAACTAAATGAACCAATCAAAACAAAGTAGTTAAAAAGATTTACTCAATTGAGCGTATTATAAAAAATAATTATAATAATTATAACGATAATAATTATAATATTTAACGATGGATTTTTAGAATTATTGTAAAAATCCATCGTTAAATTCAGGTGAAACTAAAAATCATTTTTTTTTTTAATTTATGATTTATATAGCAACATATTACAAAAAAATTTGGCATATTATAGACTGGTAGTAGCACACAGAAATAGAGTTAAAAAATTAATAAATTATAAAGTAAAATTATTTACTTTTGTAGTTGAATACTTTTATCATATCAAATTTAATTCGACAATAAATAATTTAAGAATATTAAAAATTAATGATTTTAATTGTTTGTATGGACAAATCTAGTTAAGCTACTTTTTATTTGAATAAGGAATATTTTTTTGATTTTTAAGAGTAATAACTTAAACTAATCATTAACTTAAATATCATAAACTTAAATGAATCATTTGACGTATCGTTGAAAGAAGTAGGTCTAGTGAGAGTTGGTAAAATAAATCGTAGCCACAAAAAGAACCACATAGTAAAATAATATTAACATGAGATCCTTTATATTTATTGAAATTATTGAATCTAAATGAGATAAATATCAAATGATTTGAAAATTCTATTCTAACTAAAAATAAAAAATGCAAAATTTTAGAAGCTAGAGACGGATTTGAGCCTCGTACCCTAGGCGTGAAAGATTAAGGTGTCACTCATTCGGCAACTGTTCGTTGCTTTTTGTTGCTTTTTGTTGCATGATAAAATTAGTTATTTAAGCTAACTCAAATTTAAAAATTACTTTTTCGACTTTAAAAAAGCAAAAAAATTTTAATAAGTTTAATTTCATGTCTTATGAACTTTATTCTATGTCAATGAAATTATATAATTATTCATGAAAGTCAGTTTATTCCCCTAATAAGATATTTTAAAATAAAATAAAATACAAAACCCAGAATTTTAATAAAAAATAGCATATTTTTAAATACGGTAGCCTTTTGCGCATAGAAGATAGGTCGTCGGGACAAATTTTTTTTTTTCATTTAGTAGTACATAAAATAAGCTTTAATTTGATATATGTTTAAAGGACGCAGTATTTCCGGAACATTTTCAAAAATTCAGTTGAAAAAGTTCTATTTTTTATACAATGTTTCAAAGTTTGAACCCCCCCTATATAAGGGGAAATTGTCTAATTTTAATAAAAAGTATGTCAAATGGAAGATGTACTTATAATGTATTTAGAAAAAAAAAAATTGTGCTGATACATGCATTTTTCGAAAAGTTATAGCATTTTTAAGTTGAAAATTAAAAATTGAAAATCGAAAATTTTAACACAAAAATAGTGTTTTTTTAACTACGGCAACCGTTTACATGCAGAAGATAAAGTGTCGGGACAAATTTTTTTTTTTCATTTTATAGTACATAAAATAAGCTTTAATTTGATATATGTTTAAAGGATGCAGTATTTCCGGAACATTTTCAAAATTAAGTTGAAAAAGTTAGTTTTTGTAACAAAGTTGCTATTTTAAATCCCCTCTGTGAGCAGGTTAAGTGTTAAATTTTCAAAAAAATTATATCAAATGAAAGGATAATATCTAAGGTTTTAGTTTAAAAAAAAATTATGTTGATTTGTTGATTTTTGAAAAAGTATAGAAGTTTTAAGAAAAAAAAATGACAAAATTTGTCGATTTTTAAATTTGTAATTTTTTTGGATATTTCNAAAAAAAAGTGAAAAAAATGACAAAATTTGTCGATTTTTAAATTTGTAATTTTTTTGGATATTTCCCCCATTTGCGGGGAACGAGGGAAAATTTTTAAATTTTTAAGGGTAATGTCTTCAACTAGATACAATTTGTGATCTTTTGACGTATTGTTAAAAGAAATCGGTCCAGTGAGAGCTGAGAAAAAGTAGTGACAGACACAAAAAAAAAAAATAAACACATCATGGTAAAATTAATACCTTCTCAGCTTCGCATCGAAGCTAAAATACTGGTTGATAACAACTACTAGACCAGTATAACAGAAATTCCTGAAATATTTATATTTCGATGAGAGGAAGAGTACAGCTGGGAAATATTTAGTTATAAAAAATTAGGATACACTCTTCATCTTCAGTCATTTATTTTCAATTGTTACTAAATTCCAAAATACTTGTACAACAGTTGTTGTAGACCAGTCATTTTCTTAATCAGATCTATTGAATATGCTAGTTAATTAGGAATGATGACATTAGAAATTAAAGTTGACAACCTTTTCAGGTATAAGGGATTAAGATAAAAAACCCAAACCAGCACATTGGTGACATGGCATAGTTAGATCAAGTATAATGATATCTGACAGTGATTAAA